AGCCGGTAGAGGCAGGGTCTCCTCATATCGGCTCAGATGACCACAAATGAGATGATCTCTACAACGAAGCTAAGCCCAGGACACCTGGCACAAAAGCTTTTGTTGACTGACAGGGGAGCTGAGAGGTTGAGTCTCTGAACTTTTAGGGCTGGGCCTTTAGTGTAATGCAGAGCCTTTGCCTAGCTTCGACAAGGGTCTGGGTTTGATCCCCAATCATTGCAAAAACATGAGCACTTTAGTCTATTTATAAAACAAAATTCTCTGTAAGGTGGCAGATGCCATTTGCATGGCTTTCCAGAAGAGCAGCCGTACTCCTGAAGTGGTCAGTGCCTCACTTTTCAAAATGTGGCATGGCCTCCTGACTGGACAGTGAAGAATAATGAACTTTGTGGGGAATGGCTGTACAGCCCAAGGAATGCTGAGGATACCGCTTCATTGTGTACTTGGCATGATTACCATGATGAACTTTATGCTGAGTGACTTTTATAAGAGAGCAAAGGGACGTTTTCCAGGTAGAAAGATGAACATAAGCGGAAGGAGGTAGCCACTTAGACGAAACTCTGTTTCTAAGGGTACTGATGAAGCGCTAGGCAGGGCGGAGCCAGAATGGAGCCGGAGGCACTGCCAACGACTGTAGCCAAGGAGCGTGGCAGTGGTGCCCGCCTCGATTTGCTTTATCAGGAATCAAGATGAGCCAAATGATTTTGCCAAACATCTTGTTAAGACAGAGACCAAGATGAAGCCGGCTCCTGAGGACTTGGGATTTCTCTGTGGCCTTTTCTCTAGTGTTAAAGATGTCACAAAAATGTGTAAAGCAGTCCTGGGAGGTGGCCCACCTGCTATCTCTATGCTCTCCTCCGATTGTAACGGCCAAGGCAATGTCCTGCAGAACCAGGAGATGAGGGCGCCTGTTAGAGGCTTGGGTATTGTGTCCTCAGACTGGCTCTTTCACTCAAATGGTATCCAAGTCCGAGGTCTGAGGCAACAGTTGTGGTAGTTGGAATGGGAATGTCCCCCACAGCCTCAGGCATTTAAACATTGCTTCCCAGTGGCTGCTGTTTAGAAGGTGTCCAGATCAGACTGGCTTGTGGTGTCTGTGCGAGTCCTAGATTGATGGTTGATGTGGGAGAGTAAGCCCACTGTGGGCGGCCCCATCCCTACAGGTGCACCTGAGCTGGGTGAGAAAACCAGCTGAGCGCAGGACAGTGAGCCAGCCGGCTAGCAGCATTGATCCATGTTCTCTACTTTAGTTCCTGCCATGACTTCCTCTCCGTGATGAACTGTGACCTGGTAGTGTAAGCCAAATACTGTCCCCGAGTTGTTTTAGAAAAACCATCCTTGTGGAATGCCTGTCCTTCAGGCACATGAATGCTGCCTTGTGAACTCAGTAGCTTTGATTATCCCCAAGAGACACGCATAAGATTGGGGCCACTAACATCTGTCACAGAGAGGGAGTACTCCTTCCCTGTGTGCACACACAGCCATTGCCGGGGGCCAGAGTCACTCTTGGTTGCCCCTGTTCTGTATCAACTTTGTCAGCTCACCAAGTTAGACTTGAGTGGAATGTTCTGGTTTCTTAGTGCTCTAGCTGAGGTCAGCAGCCACCTGCTCACCTCTCCGGGAAATTTTCACAGCGCTGTGACCAGAGCAGTGTGGCAGTTTGAATAACAATGGCCCCCTCAGACATCTGATCACTTAGTCACTGGGGAGTGGCACTATTCTTTTGAGAAGGATGAGGAGATGTGGCCGAATAAAGTAGGTTTGCCTTGTTGAAGAAGTGTGTCACTGGGGGTGGCTTTGAGGTTTAAAAAGCCTGTGGCAAGTCCAGTCTCTTAGTCTCAGCCTCTCTCCCTTTCTCTCTCTGCCTGCAGATCAGGATGTGGCTCTCATGGACTGCTCTGGTGCCATGCTTTCTACCATGGTGATAATGGACTAAGCCTCTGAAACTGTAAGCCAGCCCCAATGAGATACTTCCTTATATAAGAGTTCTCTTGGTCATCTTGTTTCTTCACAGTAATAGAACAGTGACTAAGACACACAAGAACACAAACATGCTAACTAAGCAGATATTTTAACCAGTTTATTGTATTTTTACAATAAAAATAAATTAGTTGTACACAAAAGAGTGCTGAAAACAGCCCACATTTGCTCATATAATTCACCGTCTACTCATCTCCTTCCACAGTAATTTAACACTGTAAAAGATGTCCTCAGTGGGCTTCTCACTCCCGGCTCTGCGGTTCACTCGCAGGTCATTCCTGAGGCGCTGCCCTAGCAACCCCCAACAGGGACCTGGGATTATCAGAGCTGAGAGTGCTCTGTCTCCCCATGTTTCCCAGCGCCCTCAAGCCAAGCTGCCCAGAGCTCTGAGCTCCTGAGCTGGGAGGCTGGTGAAGCTAACAGCAGATCACACACTGAGGAGGGACCAGAAAGACAACTCCCCTTCCCCTCCAAGTGCTTGGGTGGGAGGAGACGGTGGGTTATAGGAGAAAATATAATATTTAAGACAGAAAGGTGACAGTCTTCGTCAGGCACAATACCAGGGGGGAAAGCCCCTGAATACGTCAAAATCAGAGTAAGTTATACTTGATCTTAAACCCTCAAAAGTTTGCTCAATCACTGTACTAAATAACTGTAAGGACTGATGCAGATTAAGACACTGTGGTGCAGAAACATGCCAGAAAGCTGGGTTAGTACGATCAAACAATTTTATGCAAATATGGATGGCATATGTAAATAAATACCAGTTAGGTCCCTTTAAAATGAATATATTCTAAATAACAGAACTATTTTGGTGTCACAATCCATTCTGCAGATATAGTTCAGAATACATTTCCTATAAACATCTTGTATTTACAGAGAATAATAAGTTATAGCAAAGTATATCCTTCTGTTAGGTGGTTGGTGGGGTCTGGGGGGCCCAGGAAGGTGGGAGTTAGTAGTGTAACAGAATGGGGCCAGGGGCTCATCATTGGCAGAGACTGGGAGTTCTTGGGGCGCTTTCCACAGCATGATGGGCATCCCAACAGAAGGAGGATTCAGGCACAAAGGGTGGTTTGGGGCAACCAGTGACTCTGTCAGCAAGGGCTCCCTCAGGAAGGCAAGGTGTTCTTACAAAAGGGACCAGAGGGAGCGGCCCACGCTGGTCAAGGCTGCCCCCTCGGAGGTGTGTGACCTCAGGCAGGCGGTTAGTGGCCCTGTGTCTGTGTGCCCCTCTGGGAAGCACATGGAAATGGCTCTACCAGGTTGACAGCAGCTGCCGTGTGAGGCCACAGGAGAGGACTAACGGATTTCAGATGGTTTCAAGGTGGTAGCAGTTAGGAATGAGATGAACGAGTCGTTCAGAGCTTTTCCACTTGGAGAATCCTGACTCGGAGGTGGCCTTGAACAGCACGTTACCAGGAAAGGGATCCGGGAAAGGGATCCGGGTTCCTTCCCACACTCCGACACACCAGCGTAGCGTCTCAGCTGACACCTCTCTGGAAGGTCACTATTCCAGCTTCCCTGCACCCATGGAAGGTTCTAGCTGCAGAAAGTTGCTCTTCTGTAAGAGCAAGCGGTTTGCTGAGGTCTCTCCGTCTGTCTCCTAAGAGCACTCTATTGGTGTCACTCCTGCTGATATCACACCTCAGAAGTCCCGCTGTCCTCTTTATCAGGACCGGGAAACCCCATCTGACCACTGCAGACGAGCAACAGTCTTCCTACATACACATGCGGCCTGACCCTCACCCGTGTTTTCTCTGTGGCCGTGGGGGATGCGGAACGGCTTATCCACACACACACATATGGGCGTGTGTATGGACATCAGGGGACTGTTCTTCAGGTGTGATCCAGTGTGTTTTGTGCCCTGGCCTGGCACTTGCCAAGGAGGCCAGCTAGTGAGCCCAGGGATGGCCTGTCTCTGCCTCTGCCGTGATTACACTGAGCACCACCACATGTGGCTTTTGGCATGTGGGTTCTGAGACTCAAACTCAGTTCCTCAGCACTTGGCTGCCTGAGCTAACTCACTGGTCCAGGGTTCGCTGGTATTTTGACACTTCCTCCCACTCTCTTGACTCACCTTGAACTTAGCTGAAATTCTTCCCTTTCTATCACCTTTCAGTTGCGTAGTTATTATTTTAATCCAAAGGGAGGACTCTGGCCACTTCCCGGTGAACTGTTGAAATCTTAGGTTTTTCTCTTCAGTTTTTTGGTTTTTGTTTTAAATCTTTTCAGGCCCCTCTTGCCCTCACTGTTGGCTCTCCAGGCTCAAGGCATTGGCTATTTCTTCTAAGACATCTAGGCTACCAGCAAAATGTTTTATCTGGCAAGCACCAGCTGTTGGTCTCTGCCTGCAGGGCTCAGGGCTCCCTCACCCTGTTGCGATGTAGTCTTGCCTTGTTTTGCTCCTTATGTTTATATAGGAAAACTCTCTGTCTCCTGTGTAAAACGCTAAGACAGCTATTAACAGAGTGAGCAGACTGTCTTGGCAAGTGTTAGCAATATCTAGATTTCTCCATACCACACAACAAATTAACCTAGCGTCTCCTTTCATCCAGCCCTCTAGAAAGCCGCCTTTAAAGAAGCGAAGGCTGAGTGTAAACGCTCAGAGAACAAATAGATGATGCAGGCAAAAATCAAGGAGGGAAGGCAGAACACAGAAATCCTGGGCTGACGGTACTAAAAGGAGCAGCTGCGGCAGTTGGGAGAACTCAGTCCCTGAGCCTCTGAGATGGAAGAGCAAAGCTCCCCGACTTCTCGCTAGTCTGAGCATGGTTATGAGGGGAGCTGCTCCCTCTAGCGGCCGGACACCATATTCCCAGCTGGCCTGAGCGGTCACCGGCAATAGACTGCGCAGCGGAAAGAAAGTTTTGTTTTGTTTTCCAATGAGTGAGAAACAGCGCATGCTCCTCATTTGGGGCTCTGTTGATTTTTTGAGAAAGGCTACACAGTAGCTTTAATTTATCTAATTTTTCATTCAGGGCTGGGGATGTGGCCATCCGGCACACTGGGGGGGGGGGGGGGGGGATCAATATTGAAACAGAAATTTCAATTCCACATCACCGCCGAAGGGAATGTGGAGAGGGTTGAGAAGGAGATGGCGGATAAGGAACCATGTGCGGGACAGGCAGCCATCCCCGGTGGTCACTGGGAGCCCAAGGCCCCCCTGCATACACTGTGCTAGGGATGCAGTGATGGAAAGAAACCAGGACATCTGCAGACTGGCCTTTGAAACAAGGAGGCTAGCTGAGCCCATTCTAGAAGCCTCTCACCTTCTGAAGGGGACTGACCTCCTGGAAACAGCCCTTTTTCCTCGGAAAAAAAAAAAAAAATCCATTGAGCTCAGAGGAGTGTTTTCTTTTCTTTCTTTTTTTGGTTATTGCTATTTATTTATTTTCCTGAAGACCCGGACCTAGCCCGTCTGCTCTGACCTACACCTGCTACAGGAAGATCATTGTTCCTAAGAACGGCGTGGTGACATCTGAGACACAGGACGGACAAAGCCAGCAACACCCCAGCCCTGAGATTTTGTGAACTGGAGGGAGCAGAGTGCTCCCTCTGTGCAGGGAAGTCCTCTGGGCCCCATGACAGCCCACTGCCGGGTGGCTTTTGTCGTTGGAACATTTTCCTTCCCTGGAGCTAACGCCGGCCTTCACTTAACCCACAGATCGCTCATGCCTTACTCTCTGGCATGTACACGAACACCTCGCAAGCGATGCTTCAAATGACTGGTTTGTCCAGCAAGGTCTGAGACTCGCTGCATGAAGGGAAAAAAGAAAAAGAGAAAAAGTGGCTGGGACAAGCCAAGGCCTGCAGTAAGAGGGACAGAGCGGGAACTGGACAGAACTGCCCAAAGGGTGGCTTGCCAGTGCAAGAGCGGCCTCTGCTGGGCTGTGTCTGCACCTACAGACGCCACTGCTGATGAAGTGGTGCCTGGCTTCCCAGGCAGACAGAGATGGGTGCCGGGAGGGAGTGTACTCACGGAAGACCACAGCCAGCGGGATCCTGGCGGAGTTCATCGGGTCAGACAGGAGACCCTATCCCCACAGCTGCGCATCATCACTCTGCAGGCTGGTGCAGGCAACGGGAGGCAGCTTGTGCAGGGAATATGTGCTTGCTTTAAGAGCAACGTGCCCAGGGCCCGAAAGAAGAGACTTCCTATACATTTACAATTTTAAAGAAAGGATATTCTCCCTCATCGTCTCCCCACGCACCTCGAGACGGCTTGCCTTTCCATATACCGCGTCCCTTCAGGCCAGGGCAACGACGTGGGTCAGCAAAGACGGGGAGGGAGGGCTTCCTAGCCCCTTCTCCCAGCACTTAAGTTTATCCTGATGGCAAAGTCTTGTGGGAAGAGTCATGAGTCACAGTGGAAGAGAGGGCTGGGAGACCAGAACCTCGTTAGTCAACCCACAAGGCCCCAGTAAGCCCCTTCCTACTGCAACATGGAGACTTGCTGGTAAGACCGGCTTGCCTTTCCACTAGGGGCGCATCGTGAAGAACCCAGAAGACAGTGAAACAAGAGCCTGTGGGATTTGGGAGTTGGCTCCGCCCCAGGGAATCCCTGGCAACGGCCCAGCTCTCCTAGTGGCTTTCTTGTCTTGTGGGACAGTTCTGTTGAGTTGGACCTTAGCAAACATCACAGGGTGCTATCATCAGGGCTGTGTCTGAGGGAAATGGGACAGGGGTGCAGGCATCCAGAAAGAACTAAAATCTCAGTTGAGGCAGCACTTAGGGACAGAGGAAGTGTTCATAGAACGCACAACTTCTCAGCCTCCTGGTTGGACAGGAAGCCCCAGGCCCTGGACAGACGCCGGGCTGGCCACTGGTGGTGTTGTGGGATGAGGGCTGTGCTCAGCCATCTGGGGTAGGCACTTAGCCCTGCCACAAAATGGCAGGTCAGGTACCCGAGCTGAGCCTCAGTTTCCTTGCTGGTAAAGTGGGGACACGTAATGACCCCTGAGCCCATTCTGGGGTGCTGCAGCTTCCAGCACGCTACTGTCTGAGAGTGTGTGTACCTGCTAAAGATGAAAGCCCTCCTGTGCGCTGCCTCTGTCCTGAGGCAGGAAACAGTCTGTTGTCTTTAAGAATGGCGATGGCACAGCGGGGCTGGGGTAACAGGGGCACACAGGTCTCAGCGAGGCTTGTTGGTGTGGTAGGATTGAGTTCTGTCCTTTCTCCACTTTCCAAAGGGCAGGCCGGCAGCACCTGGAAGGAGGCTGTGCGTGGTCAGTGGCCCAGCTGCTGACCTGGGCCCAGCAAGCCTGAGGCTGGGCTGAGAGCTGCACGCTTGGTTTTCCGGAGGCGCCGAGAGCAGGCACCAGGTCTTGAGGAAGGGAGGATGGAGCTATGCTCAAAGGGCTGCTGTGGCTTTCTAAGCCCCGGGGCACCGTGTGGAGGGCGGTGTTACCGGCTCCCCAGGAAGCCCGAGTGTCTGCCGGCCACTCGGGCGCAGGAGGCGCAGCAGGCCGTCTTGTAGTAGCTGTAGACGCAGAGGCGCGCCTGGACCACCACGTTGCAGTTGTAGTACTTGTCCTTGCAGTTCTCATCTGCAGCGGAGAGGAACGGAGGAGACTCCTAAGCCCAAGACAACCAGGACCAGCAGGGAGAGAAAGCCGAGCAGTGAGCCCAAGACGGCCAGGACCAGCAGGGAGAGAAAGCTGGGCGGACACAGCACGGTTCCTGGGCCCTGCCTATTTGTGTGGGTGTGTGGGTGTGTGCATGCATGTATGTGGGGGTCTCTGCGTGTCTGTAGGAGCCTGAGTGAGCATGCGCAGCACATGCAGAGCAGGATGTCAGAGATGTCGGGGAGGGGCCTAGTTAGGGCTCAAAAGAAGCATGAAGGGGTTGAGAGAAGGTAATGAAGGGTGTTAAAAGACCCTCAAATATTGTATATGCATATGAGCTTGTCAAAGAATAATAAAGAAAAAACATTTGAGAAATAAGTTGAAGAGAAGCTGAGGAAGCCACCTGATGACGTTTGTCCTCCACATGTTTGCATTCATATGTACACACACACACACACACACACACACACCACAGGGAGAGAGAATATGTGTTCAGGAACATCCAGGGATGCCTGTAATACTCCAACTCAAGGTCAGCGAGGGCAGCATAGTGAGACTCTGCCTCAAACAAACAAACAAACAAACAAAATAATGATCATTATGAAGAGATCTGACCACAACGGTGAATACCAAATTTGAGAGTTTCTTCCCATAAAGAATTAAGAAGAAAGGAGAAAAGGATCATAGAGGGGAGCTGGAATTCACATGTTTCTATGCTCTGCAGGCATGGACAAGGGTGTAGGGTACCTGATAGTGGCTACTGACGAAGGTGAGTCCTCCCCAGCCACCATCAA